CAGTCCCCAAAGCTTGGAGACAAGGCATAAGAGCCCGAATCCAAGGCTCTGCGAGATGAGGCTCAAAGCACCGGCAAGCTCTCCGAGGCGCACAGCTTAATCCCAGGCTGGGGAAAGGCACGGGGCTGGCACCGGAGGAAATGGACGTGGTTGTATGGAACTGGTGAGCTCTGGGTTTCAGAGACGGAATAAAAAAGGGTCCGCAGGCAAGAGGCTTGGAGACAGATGGACCTGTTGGGTGGGCTGTGGAGCTAAACTCCAGACTGGGGGGATGCCCGTGAGAAACCCCAAGACCGTGAGTGCAATGTATAAAGCCAGGTGTGGAGCAAGGACAGTTAGCTGACTACAGGGAGTGTGGAAACACATGACTCACTTCCATACTTTCTGTGAGAGGACAGCCTTGAACCGAAAAAGCAGAGCAAAAGCAGGCGAGCATGGGCAGAAGGAGCCGGGAGGCCCTGCAGAAGTGACTCGGGAACTATTCATAGCACTCTAGGTAGGACGACCGAGAGAGAGACAGGGACCCCAACGCCAGAAATGACCATAGGTCTCAATTCATTTGCTTTTGTACTTTTAGGTGGGGGATGGTAGATTCTGCAAACTATGGACTGGTGACCTGACAGGTGTCCCCTAGAGGCTTCTAAAACAAACTAACAGCTACCGTGGAATGATTTCTGAACACCCGGAGAGAGGAGCTGGAAGTAGGAAGTGAGGAATCCTTAAGAACAAATGATGGGACCCAAATGTCCATCAATGATAGACTGGATAAAGAAAATGTGGCACATATACACCATGGAATACCATGCAGCCGTAAAAAAGGATGAGTTCATGTTCTTTGCAGGGACATGGATGAAGGTGGAAACCATCATTCTCAGCAAACTTACATAGGAACTGAAAACCAAACACCACATGTTCTCACTCATAAGTGAGAGCTGAACAATGAGAACACATGGACACAGGAGAAACACCACACACCGGGGCCTGTCAGAGGGTGGGGGCTGGGGAGGGAGAGCATTAGGAGAAATACCTAATGTAGGTGACAGGGTAATGGGTGCAGCAAACCACCATGGCACGTGTATACCTATGTAACAAACCTACATGTTCTGCACATATAACCCAGAACTTAAAGTATATATATAAAAGAACAAATGATGCGGAGCCGACCTCCTTCTCCTGTTGATAAGTCAACCAGCTTCCCCGGGGGACAAGGGAAGCCTACGTGTGTGACAAGGTCTCTCATGACTGACCCACAAGATGACAGTAATGATGACCCCAGCCAGCTTCCAGGGACAGCTCGGTCGTCTCCTCACTCCTCACAACGCCTTCAGTTTCCCTCCTCTCCACCACTAAGCTACTCAAAAAGGCTGTCTACACAGATCATCTCCACCTTCTCACCTCCCACTCAGACTCACACCTGCCCCACCTGACTTCTCTCTCCAGCTGCCACCAAACTGCTCTTCCAATTCTACACCTTCCCCTTGAAGCTGACCCAACCCGCCTTAGGGGCCCGATCTTCAAAACCTCGGAACAGCAGCTGCAAGGTTAACTTCTGGAGAGGGGTGGAATTGACCCTTAATCTCTCACCTTTAATTAACTTGAAAAAGTAATACCTGCATATCATTTAAACACTCAACCAGTACAAAAAGGCTGCCATTAATTGGCAGTTGCATGTATTGCCAATGCCCCTCTCCAGAGGCAGTCCTATGCACGTTCTTGTAGATTCTTGCAGAATATTTGTTTGTTTTGAGACTGAGTCTCGCTCTATTACCCAGGCTGGAGTGCAGTGGCGCAATCTCGGCTCACTGCAATGTCTGCCTCCTGGGTTCAAGCGACTCTCGCGCCTCAGCCTCTGGAGTAGCTGGGATCACAGGCCACTGCCACCACACTCAGCTAATTTTTGTATTTTTAGTAGAGATGGGTTTTCACCATGTTGGCCAGGCTGGTCTTGAACTCCTGACCTCAAATGATCCACCTGCCTTGGCCTCTCAAAGTGCTGGGATTACAGGCGTGAGCCACCGCGCCTGGCTGCAGAAATGTTTATGTATGTATTTGCATCCATTTCCTTTTTTTGTCTTCTTTCCAAATGGGAGCATATGGATGCAATTTTTTGTATATTGCTTCTTTCACTTCATTTATTCTGAAGATCACATTCCCTCTTTTCTCAAGTTGTCCCAGCCTGGTCTTCTGAGCAGCACACTGCTAGTTTGCTTTCTGTCTGCTAGGCTGCCCTTGGCCAGCAACTCCCTCTAGCTGGCTTGGAAAAGTTGGAGTCCCCCAAGTTCATCATTCAAGCCCTCTTTCTTCTTCCTTTAAACCTTTCCCTTAATCACACCACCTACTCCCAAGGCCGTAAGTGCCACCCATATACACGGACAAGCCCCACACAGCCTCCAACTAGAATCCTTTCCTCTGACTCCCAGCTGACACCTAGTTGCCACCTAGTAGTTGGCTGCCTGGCAATCATTCCCAAGTCAACATGACCAACACTAACTCCGTCTTCCCCCCAGATCTGGCTCCCCCTCCTTTCCCACACTGAGCAAGCACCTAGTCATGCAGACATGGCACCGTCGGCAGGTTCTGAATCTGTTCTCTTTGTTGGCTGCTGGCAGCTCTCCCCTGGACGGCTACGCCAGCCTCCTGTCTGGATCTCTCAATCTACTCCTGCTTCTTTTCAACCACGCCGCAGCGTACGATGCCCTAGTAGCTTTCAGAGTTGCCGTTCGGAAGCCTCACCCTGCCCTAGGAGGGTCCCACACCCCCTCTCACACCCCTGCGCTCTGTCCAGGCTCTGTCTCTCCATGGGGCCCTCCCTCCCAAATCCTCGCCCTGTTGCTCTGTCTCTTCCTTCACCTGCACCTTCAAGGTCACTCCCATACGAAGCCTTCCCACCCCTGGGACCAGTGAGACATTGAGCCTTACCTCTGTAGTTCTTCGATGTCTTTTCTTCTTGGAAACTCAAAAATGTTTTGAGTGGGACTGTGACTGTTTTGTTCACGACTTTGCTGTCTCAGCATCTGGCGATGTTCGGAAAAACTGACAGGATGAAAAAATGATTGCCATCCTTGAAGCTGCTTCCACCCTTTGCACATTAGACTCCCCCCCCGCCCAGACCACCAGACTTCCTGGTGCGCAGAACGACACAATGGCTGAGGACTCGGGTTCTGGAGCCAGACTGCCTGGGTTTGAGCCCAAGCTCTGCCAACTTTCTGGCTTGGACAAGGTGCTCAGTATCTCTGGGCTTTTCTCTTTTGTAAAAGGGCACAAATAATAGTACTTAATTCACAGAGGAGCAAAGGAAAGAGTTCCTAACTCAATGAGGGATTAGAAAAAATTACATTGTTTAGTGCTGCTTCCAGCATTTCTCCTCCTGTTCATTCATTCCTCGGCCATTTCAAGCTGGTCTTCCCCTTAGCTGTGATAACTGCCTTGTATTTTTTGTTTGTTTTGAGACGGAGTCTCGCTCTGTTGCCAAGCTGGAGTGCAGTGGTGTGATCTTGGCCCACTGCAACCTCCGCCTCCCGGGTTCAAGCGATTCTCCTGCCTCAGCCTCCCGAGTAGTTGGGATTACAGGCACGCACCATGATGCCCAGCTAATTTTTCTATTTTTAGTAGAAACGGGGTTTCACCTTGTTGGTCTCGATCTCCTGACCTCACGATGCACCTGCCTCAGCCTCCCAAAGTGCTGGGATTACAGGCTTGAGTCACTGCACCCGGCCTTGTTTTGTTTATAGGACAAAAGTCATTTCCAGCTAGAGGTGGAAGTTTCTGAGACTGGGGATCCTATCTGTTTGGTCTGCCACTCCATATTCCCAGACTCCAGGAGGAGTGGACTCAAGAAGTATTCCCTAATGGATTGAGGAGAGGTAAAGCCTAAAGTGGCTCAGGAAGCTAGCCCGAGTTCATTTTTCCAGGAATAATCCACAAGTGCAGAAATGAACGCTGATTTATTCAATTCTCTTGTTTAGATTTAAGCAGCTCACCCACAGAAACCTTAGATTGTATCTTTATATCCTTCTGTTAAACCTAAGATGGTTACAAACTATAAAGCAATAACTTGCTAGTGAGGCATGAAGAGTGAGATGCTAGGACAGAATTTAGCACTGAAACGATAAAAAACATTTTAAAGTAAGAGCTTGCCGGTTGCAGTGGCTCATGCCTATAATCCCAACATTTAGGGAGGCTGAAGTGGGAGCATCACTTGAGCCCAGGAGTTTGAGACCATCCTAGGCAATGTAGTGAGACCCTGTCTCTACAAAAAATTTTAGAAATTAGCCAGGCATAGTGGTGTAACATTGACTGTAGCCCCAGCTACTCGGGAGGCTGAGGTGGGAGGATCATTTGAGCCTGGGAAATCCAGGCTGTAGTGAGCTGTGATCACATCACTGTACTCCAGCCTGGGTGACAGAGCCAGACATTGTCTGAAAAATAAAAAATAAAAAATAAGAGCTCTTTTGTAGCCATTTTAAAAAATAGAAATTAGAAAACTTTCCATTTTGCATTTTTTTTTTTTTGAGAATCCTAGACTCTAGATCATGATCTCATTTCCTTTTGAAATTGGAAAATATTACTAAGCCTGGGCATGAAAGCAAAAGCAAAGCTCAGAATCTAGGCCAGGTCTCTGACCCTCGAAGGGCTCTGAAGAGCAGGACACATCCAGGTGCCTGGTTCACATGGGCGCCATGCTGAGCTTCCTGCAACCCTGCAGACCCCTGTGAGAGGAACTTTTCACTCAAATTTGTAAAATAAAATTTCTCAGAAATATCTCAATGAAATAATAGAAAATAATGAAACTGGTAATTCAGAATAAAATGTGTGATTTCCAAGAAAACAATGATGATGATGATGATAATAAAATGCCTTGAATGATTGAAATCCTAGAAACAGAGAGAAAATCAACCTAGAAAACCTCCCAATTCTACCCTCCAGGGGTGCAATGACATCTATAATGGAAGACTATATGCTGCACTAGTGCTAAAACAGACTGTATCCAACTCAGCAGATTCTATACAAGCCATTTATTTGAAATGCCAACTATATGTAGGATAAAGTCAGTGTTACATGCTTATCAGTAACAGTAGAAAAATAGAAGCAGTGAAAACCTCTGTACAACTGTAATGGTACTCAAAAGAGAAATGTATCGTTTTACAATGCTTCACACAGACGAATTCAAGTTTGGAGGTACCTAAATAAAAATACTATATATTTCTTTAAAAATCACTATGTACAATTGAAGCGTAAACAAGTTTTACAAAGTACTGGTTATGCAGGTTGTAGAAAACACTTGCATAGGACATGAAATCAGTTTAAGAAAAATTTCTGAGCCTTTAGCATTGAAGGCACTTGACTTTATACCAGTAACAGCACAACCACAAGAAATGCAGTGTTGTAGATGGTTTTCCACCGCTCTGAAGTACAGATGTGGTGCGTACACAGCAAGGAGAGTTCAGGAACCTTTCTCTCTCAGCCACCCCATCAAAGAGCAGGACTTGGTACCGCCTGCCCATGTAACCCAGATACAGTCACGTGTAGGTACAGATGATGAAGCTTCCAGAGCTTATCTGACCTCTTAGACAGAACTCACATAAACACACAAATACAAGAGGTTATTTTCAAGACACACACTTGCAAGTAATCTTTCTATAGAAATGGCCACAGCATTATAATATTCAGAATACGGAAGATTGACAGTCTGAGGATTTTCTAGAGGAAAAAAAAAAATCAAAGGACTTGCCAATAGGATAACTACATAACAGATATGACAATCTACAGGACAAAAAGACATGTCACCAAATATTGTTCATACAACAGCGTTAATGGAAAACAGTAAAACACCTTTTAGCAGTGTGCATGTTAAGTCTTTTAGTAAGATTATCTGTAATGAGGTTTGAAAGTAAATCACTTAGTAGACAAAGTAAACTACCGCAGAACCAGGAATAGCACCCATCACTGCTGCTTTAATAGTCACTCCAGAAAGCTGAAAGTCAACCGAACAATGAAAAAAAGTCAAAGAAGCATTTCCCTTTGAATTCAGTCCTAAAAATATGAATGCCTTATAATTAATTTCAAAATAAGTATCTTACAAGTGTTTCATGAAACATTTTTTTTCTAAATTCAGCATTATGAAAATATATATTTTGCCGGGTAGTTACTGAGAAATGTCAGTCCTTTCAACTCTAGAGAATGATGCATGGAGGTCGGCTTTGAGCCCCACTGCCGCTGGCGCGTGCTTCCAATTTGCCTTCTGCATCGGCACCTTAATGCAGATGTACAAGGACTAAGCTCATTGCTAGAATGGCAACAACAAACCAAAACAAAAATCCAATGAAGGATGGCAGGTATAATAAAGTTTCTGAGGAAGCAAAAACAAGAATTAGGTAAGGCTTCATAAAGAATTCTATAAGAAGACTGAAATGTCAAGAATTCACTGAAAAGTCTCAAAGCCTAACGGATTATTGCATTGTCAGGCTAGCTGAGGTCTAGGGACATGTTCCCAGAAATAAAGCTGAAGGGGGCATGTGAGAATGGGCGTGGAAAACTTAAACAACTATGTTTCAAATACTTTTTGCCTTTCATGCTGCTGTTTTTTTCCTTAGGAGCCACGGGTTGACTCTGAACTTAAAATTATTCATAAAAATCACAAAACTAAAACAATAACATAAGAAAAAATACCAACAGCATCTTTAAGAAACTTGAATGTCCTCTCTTGGCTCTAGCATGTAAACGGTAGTTCTCTAACCTCAACACACAGCGGGCACTGGAAGTGGTGATTGTCCAAACGGCCTGATTGTCCACAATCTCAAAAGGAGATCTGGTATTTTTGTGATTTGGTTCGCACTAAATTCCTACACCAAGTAAAATGCCAGTTCCCATGGCCTGAATTTTATTTTATACATATATATGCTTTTTTTCTGAGAGCAACCTTACTTAGACTTCACATTTATCTTAGTACAGCATTAAAAAAGATTTAATAGATGGGTTCAAAAGCCAGAGGCACGTAGCTCTTCAACCTACCCTAGTAACCATACTTCACAAGATACATTAAAAGTCCACTAACACCTCATCTAACACACACAAAAGCCACACCTGTTAACCTTTTGCAAGTCACACCCGTCCGCAATCCCACAGATTAAAGCAAATTTTCCCTTTATACACATAGTTTTAGCCAGGTAAGCTGCTGTATGATTAAAAGCAAACTTTATAAACTAAATAATCTTAGGAATAGTGGCCATTTACTTTTATAATTATATTTCAGGGACATGAGAGAATAGTTCATGAATTTTCAGAAAAATGAATGTGTGGGATCAACATCTCTGGTCTAACATTTGGAGACCAAAAAAAAAAAGGGTCAGGGATGAGTTTTTTCTCCCCATCCAAATTAGGTCTACTGAGTTTTACTTGCAGTACCGGCGCAGTACATGAACATGTCAACATACATATGTGGTAGAAACACACATCAAGGAATATGATGGCATTCGCTTTTGTTTCTGAAGACAGACAGAGGCTGGGCTTCAAAAGACACCGTCTTCTATTATGAGTCAAATTTCTTACAAATGAGAACAGAGGCCTATGTTTTTCTCTTTAAAAAAGGAGCCTCGAATGCGATGCACAGCCGACCTGCAGATTAGTGTTAACTCTGGGAGCTCGGGAGCTTGCACCAGCAGCGTCACCGAGTGCACCCGTACAGCAGCTAACCAGTCAGGCAGCAGAACGAGCGGCGGCAGTTTGCCGGTGTGTGCAGACACACGACATGTTTCCCATCTTGGAGACTATCTACTGTTTGGGTTTTTCTAAAATGTCAGATTATTCCTGAGTGTATATCCACAGGGTAAAGGAGGAAAAGACCGTAAGAGAAACTATAGTTTTGGGAGAAATCAGAGTTGTTGACACCCAATAGAAAACCTATTTACTTCAAAGTGCATGTAATTCATTTATCCGGTAGCTCGTAGAGGCTTCCTAGCCCTGCATAGTTTTCGAGTGAGTGTGAGTGATTCATGGTTTTTTATATATATACATACACAGAAAAAAGGCTCCCAAATATCCAGAAGAAGGAATGTTTGGAAAGCCTCTTTTCTTCTAAGTGCTACGGCTGTGTGTTTATGTGTTTGTAAAAATACAAAGTAAATGCTCAAATAATGTTGAAGTGATTTAAAAACTCAAATACTAATATATTTACATTGGAGAGTAAGAAAAAAACAGTCCTTAGCTCACACATTGCCCTTCCAAGGGAGAGGATCCGGAAAGACCCCATGTGCTCAGTGGTTTAGTAAATGCCAAACCAGCGTCCCCGTGGAGTTCAAGTAGGACATGTAGTGTTTAACTGAAAACTTTTTTTTCTTTTTTTCTGTTGGTGAGAAAGCATTACGCATTACCCAACACCAAAATTTAGACATACTTTGAAAATCGTTTAAAAGAAAACATACGTTTACAAACACCAAATAACATCCATGAGACTGAAGCCCTTTTGTTTTCTTCCCATAGAGAGTAAGACAATTAAAGGCAGCAAGCAGTCAGTTCCCCCATCGCAGCTGGAGAGTTGACGCTCAGAACCAGAAATTCTGTCAGTGTGCCCTTTAAGTTACTTCTCTATTTCCACTGCCTTTTTTTTTTTTTTTTTCTTTTTTTGGAGACAGGGTCTCATTGTTGCCCAGGCGGGAGCACAGTGGTGCAATCTTGGATCACTGCAGTCTTCAACCTCCCAGGCTCAAGCGATCCTCCCACCTCAGCCCCCCAAGTAGTTGGGACTACAGGCGTGCACCACCATGCCCGGCTAGTGTTTTTTTTTTTTTTTTTTTTTTTTTTAATGGAAATGGAGTTTCGCCATGTTGCCCAGGCTGGTCTTGAACTCCTGAGCTCCAGTGATCCGCCCGCCTCGGCCTCCCAAAGTGCCGATCACAGGTGTGAGTCACTGTGCACGGTCTCCACTGCTTTCTAATTCCAAGGGATGCGATCTCCTTGGAGCCTCATTTGGTGACTCTAATCCTTATGACCAGAATGTGCAGGGATTCTGACTGCATCCACACTGGAAATATAACAGCTTTAGCCTGGGCACAGAAGGCTTTTCTCCTTCCTGTTCTTTCCTGAACCAGCAGACTTCAGGACCCTGACTGGACTCCCGCTGGAGGAATGAAGCCCAGCTCCTAGGACTTATTAAAAAAAAAGGGACATTAGATTTATGGAGGCTGAGCGGGAAGATCTCTGAACTGAAACAATTACTGAAAAGAGAGGAGCATTCTGACGTGCTGTTCTTTGGAATTTCTATAATTAAAAAATAAACACAACTATTCCGTAAGAAAATACATCTTAGTGTGCAATCCAATGCACATGGATTGGTAGATGAAAGGTAAAATGCAAAAAAGTATGAAAATACAGTCCTTTAAATGTGGCAATAAAGTTTAACATACTGATATAAAATCAATACAGAGAAAATAAATGTACAAGTGCAAAAAAATTCCATCATTTGTAAAGAGAAATAAAAAGTGCCAGCCTGCTTGTTCTTAAAAATGCTTCCCGACATAATTGTTCAAACACAAATCAGACAGATGCAACATTGAAAAAAAAAAACAAACCTTCTTAGCATGCTGTGTCTAATAAACACATATATACACAAAAACTACAACAAAATCATGTGAAACGGAGTTATCAGCTGGCATTGATAAACTGGTCTGTAAGTTGTTGGGTTACATCATAAAATGGGATGTTTCACATCTCAGGCACAGACGACTTGGAGGTTGCTCTCAGAGGGCAGACTTTTTGTAGAGGAAGTCCGGCTTGCTTGGTGACCTCCTTCCTCTGCTTATGGAATCTTCCCTTTCCAAATCTGTATTTCTCTGAGCTCCATGGCCCAGGGATTCACTGTCTGCCAGTCTTCTACTGGATCTCTCTTCGGGAGCTTCAGAGCTACACGCAGAAAGTGAAGGTCTGTTAGAAGTCAGCCCAAAAGTCAAGTCAGTTTCTACTGTGGTTCGTCCCCTGACATGGGCTGGACCAGTACTAGCATTTTCTGGGGCTGCCAAAGGAAAGTCTGACCGCTGGGGAGGTTGCTCAACGACGTCCAGGTGTATTGGCTCATTCTTTTGTCTGTGTAGATGCCCATCAGGGGAAAGTGGATATTCTCTCCTAGCTTCTTCCTGTTTTTTAGGAGACGTCTGGCCAGGTAGGTAGGCTGACTTTAAGCCACTTGGTGATGCCTTATTGTGGCTGTACAAATCGGGACCAAAATATCCACCTTGCGAAGGGGAAGGGGTGCGTCTGCTGGGAGCAGGAGTAGAAGGTCTGCAAGCAGCATTTGAGAAGTCATAGAAATCCGGATATTCCTGTGGATTTTCTCTGGAGTCTGTTTTTTGCTCTAGTGTGTGTTTTTTCCGAGAAGTGTGTGTATGTCTCTGTGAAATACATGACAGATGCTGGGGAGGCCCTGGTCCTGCTTCAGAAACTGACTGGCTTAATTCTGTGTCTACAGCAAGCTCTGGAAGCCTCCTGTCCTTGAGTGACAGTGTGGACACACCCACTGCGATGTCAGGCATCAGATCATTCAGCACAGGTTGTGTTCGCTGCAGACAGAGACAAAAATGGTGGGAGGGTTAAAAAAAAGGACCCATCCTCTGTAAAAATGATGTTCACTGATTTTGTTTCCCAATTATAAAAGTAACACATACTGATTTTTTTTTTTTGAGATGGAATCTCACTCTGTCGCCCAGGCTGGAGTGCAGTGGTACGATCTCAGCTCACTGCAACCTCCACCTCCCGGGTTCAAGCGATTCTCCTGCCTCAGCCTCCTGAGTAGTGGGATTACAGGTGCATGCCACCACGCCCAGCTCATTTTTTGTATTTTTAGTGGACACGGGTTTTCACCGTGTTAGCCAGGATGGTCTCGATCTTCTGACCTCGTGATCTGCTCGCCTTGGCGTCCTAAAGTGCTGCGATTACAGATGTGAGCCACCGCTCCTGGCTGAATTTTTAAGAATTATAAAAATATAGAAAGCTATAAAGGCAAAAAAAAATCACTCCAACCTTTTGAACAGAGATACCACTGTTAGCATTTTGAGGTCTTTCTTTTTTTCTCCTTTGCATGTATATTAATTTTAATGAAATTTAGTACATATATAATCTGTCACTAAATCTTTGAGATCACCATTTTAAATTAGTATGTCACGTTCTACTTCATCAATGAACCATGACTTAATTTAATCATTCTGTTACTATTGGACATTTAGGTTGTTTACAATTTTTCATTATTACAGTTAAGACTGTAATGAACATACAAATAAATTACCTTTAAAGGGAGTTTTATTTAAAATATAAAGTAGTAGAATTTTGTAATTGTAGAACTGAGGGCCTGGGCCAACAGGACAGGAATCTGGCTTACCAAACATGGCCAGCCTTTGACATTCTGGGGCGGGGGAAGCAGAGAGGGGAGGTAGAGAGGTCTAAGAAGCTGAGAAAGGCTTTCTGTGCTAACAGTTCTCCTGCAAACGTGGTGAACCTTCCTGAAACCCATCGGACTTTCTGTCACAGTGTGGCACACACCAATCCCACAAAGTGACATGGTAGAGGAAGGGCAAGGATTCTCTGTATGCTCAGGCAAAGCGGCATGACAGGAAACAGAGTGACTATGGCAGGCAGACTAGGCTGATTTTCCAGAAAAAGGCTAAAACTACAAAGATTGTGCTGAAACTTCAGTGCACTGAGCTCAACTGCAGATCTAAGAGGATGCTGGCTATTAAGAGATGCAAGCATGTTGAACCAGGGGAAGATAAGACAAAGGGACAATTGATCCAGTTGTAAGCATCATCTTTTGTTTCACGGTGAAGATAATAAAATCTTGAGGTTGGCCGGGCACAGTGACTCACGCCTGTAATCTCAGCACTTTCGGAGGCCAAGGTGGGCAGATCATGAGGTCAGGAGTTCGAGACCAGCCTGACCAACATGGTGAAAACCCTGTCTCTACTAAAAATACAAAAATTAGCTGGGCGTGGTGGTGCACGCCTATAATCCCAGCCACTCAGGAGGATCACTTGAACCTGGGAGGCGGAGCTTGCAGTGAGCCGAGATCGCACCACTGCACTCCAGCCTGGGCAACAGAGTGAGAATCCGTCTCAAAAAATAAATAAATAAATAAAATAAAATAAAATAAAAATAAAAAATAAAATCTTGAGGTTATGTTAAAAAGTTGAGAAAGGATCATAATTTGACTCAAGCTTCCAATAAGCCGTATTTTAATGAAGTTTCCCTGAACTAACAGGTGAATCTTTTCTTCTAACTTGCTACTGATAGCATGTGACTAAGTAGGAAGACTTAAAAACCTTTTTTTTTTTTTTTGAGACAGTCTCACTCTGTTATCCAGGCTACAGGACAGTGGTGTGACCATAGCTCACTGCAGCCTCAACAACCTCCCAGGCTCAAGTGATCGTCCCACCTCAGCTCCATGAGTAGCTGGGGCTGCAGGCATGTGCTACCACATCTAGCTAATTTATCTGTTTATTTGGTAGAGTCAGGGTCTCATTATGTTTCCTAGGCTGGTTCTGAACCTCTGGGCTCAAGTGATCCTCCCACTTCAGCCTCCTGAAGTGTTGGGATTACAGGTGTGAGTCATGGCACCTGGCCAAAAAAAAAAAAAGAAAAGAAAAATCACTATGTTTTTCAAGTGTATTATATAAAACCTCTAATACAGGGTAAAATCAAGCAAAGAATCCTCTATCAATTTACTAGCCACTAGCCCTGGCTACTACGATTCTGAGTGAAGTGGGGGCTCTGCTGATGAGCTTCAGAGGCAGAGGCAAGCCTTAGGCCTCATTTTCTGCTCATCTTCTGAATGGGGAGTTTTTGCCACATTATTCCTGATGGTATACTGTACTTAAGTAGGTATAAGTAGCTCTGGCTTCTTGTCCCATTAAAGCATGTGGTAGAATAGTGGATTTTACAGAATAGTAGAAGTTAGGGACAAACTGTAGACCTGTGCTTGAACAGAACATGAAACTGGTATATTCCTTTATGCTGCTCAGTAACCCCATTCCTTCCTAATCCTGCCAAATGAGCAAAAAGATAAGAAGATACTCAACTCCTCCATACACACCTCTTGGTCTCTCTCCTCCTGTCTTTTCTCATTCAAGTACACTAGCGTTTTCCCCTCTTTTCCATACCCCTCAAGTCTATGCCTGCCATTTGTCAGCAATACTTCTGGGCACTGCTGAGTCCCAGTGGGCCTCTTGGGGCCAAGAAAATTGCTTCTAATAGTCCATAAACCGAATATGAAGCAAGTTACTGAAGTGCTGACTTACCACTTGCTTCTCAGATGCTGCTGCTGCTGCTGCCGCTGCTGCTGCTGTTGCTGTTGAGGTGGTGGTGGCGGCAGCAGCAGCCACCGTCTGTCTGCCCAGTCCTGCAGTGCTGGTACAATCAGGTGGTGCAGCTTTCACACTCGGCAAGTAGACTGGGGGAGGGCCAGCTTTAGGAGCTGTTCTGGAGTGGAACAGCGAATGATTACAGGGATAAGAAAATGAACGTGAAGGGTGCTGACTGGGAGGTCTTTGTTTCCAGCCTGCTTTGAGTTGGTTATGGATTGGGGTAGCTGGGGGGTGGTAGGGAGGTGGTGGAGGGGGCAAGGGTGGATGGAAGGCCACAAAAGAGTCCAGATCTGTAAACATGGTTTCTGCAGGAGGGGTGCTGTTTACGCGACATCTCCCAGGTTGCCTCATTGTCAAGAGTGGACTTTCATCCCCAAAACGTTCATCAGGAAAGAATTTGTGAGGATTCTAAGAAAGATAAAAAAACAAACAAACAAAAAACAAAAATGGACATTTATTAGCAGATTTCATAAATAGAAATTTATAGGCTGAGAGAATTAAGTCAGGTACTTAAGAAAACCACAGTCAGCAAGAATAAAAGGCATAATTTATTTTTCTAGGCCAGAAGCCCAAGAAAAAAAATCACCTTAGTTATAGCACAAAGGCACAGAGTGCAGCCTAGGACACAGCCATGAAAGAAAGCTGCTTGATCGAATGCTCCACAAGCAGGTCACTCATCTCAGATTATGTGATAATGCAAAAACCGGTAATAAAACCAAACTCTAATATGTCTTTGCTAAGAGATTAACATTAAATGCCAAAGGAAGAAAGGAATACAACTGAGGATGTTCTAGAAACTTTCTGACAAAACATCTATGCCTTCTCTGTCTGAAATAAAAACTACAAAATACTATTCGTTACCCATTATACATGACTAAGTTTGACCAGTATTTTGGTAAACATAAAAGAATATGTCATGCAATTTAAGATATCAAATTCAGACACAATTCAGAATGGCAAAGGGAAAAGGAATGAGTAGAAAACCAGACTATATATTTTAAGGATAAAAACTGTAGCAAAAAATGAAAATCAACAACCTAAACAAGAACCTAAGAATGTTCAGTAGAAAATTAGGACAGCAGGGGAAAAAAGAAGAAAAAGAACCTAAAAATGGTTTGCTGACTTGCTGAAGAACCCTATGCCATGTTTATTCATTCGTTTGTTCGTTCATTCGTTCATTCATTCATTCATTCACTCACTTATTTTTTTGAGACAGGGTCATTCATTCATTCACTCACTTATTTTTTTGAGACAGGGTCTCATTCTGTCGCCCAGGCTGGAGTGCAGGGGTGCAATCATGGCTCACTGCAGCCCTGACCTTTTGGGCTCAAGTGATCCTCCCACCTAATCCTCCCAAGGAACCGGGACTACTGCGCATACCACTATGCCTGGGTAATTTATTGTATTTTTTGTAGAGATAGGGTTTTGCCGTATAGCCCAGGCTAGTCTTAAACTCTTGAGCTCAAGTGATTCGCCCGCCTGGGCCTCCCAAAGTGCTGGGATTATAGCCATTGTGTCCAGCCTATCCTTTTTTGTTTGTTTGTTTTTGAGACGTGGGCTTGCTCTGTCACCCAGGCTGGAGTGCAGTGGTGCAATCTTGGCTCACAGCAAACTCCGCCTCCCAGGTTCAAGCGATTCTCTTGCCTCAGCCTCCCGAGGCTGGGACTACAGGCCCACGCCACAACACCTGGCTAATGTTTGCATTTTTAGTAGATATGGGGTTTCACCATGTTGGCCAGGCTGGTCTCGAATTCCTGACTTCAAGTGATCCGCCCACCTTGGCATCCCAAAGAGTTGGTGTGGGGAAAGGAAAGAGAGATCAGACTGTTACTGTGTCTATGTAGAAAGAAGTAGACATAAGAGACTCCATTTTGTTCTGTACTAAGAAAAATTCTCCTGCCTTGAGATGCTGTTAATCTGTAACCCTACCCCCAACCCTGTGCTTGCAGAGACATGTGCCATGTTTACTCAAGGTTTAATGGATTTAGGGCTATGCAGGATGTGCTTTGTTAAACAAGTGCTTGAAGGCAGTATGCTTGTTAAAAGTCATCACCACTCTCTAATCTCAAGTACCCAGGGACACAAACACTGGGAAGGCCACAGGGACCTCTGCCTAGGAAAGCCAGGTATCGTCCAAGGTTTCGCCCCATGTGATAGTCTGAGATATGGCCTCGTGGGAAGGGAAAGGGGAAAGACCTGACCGTCCCCTAGCCCCAGCCCATAAAGGGTCTGTGCTGAGGAGGATTAGTAAAAGAGGAAGGCCTCTTTGCAGTTGAGATAAGAGGAAGGCATCTGTCTCCTGCTGGTCCCTGGGCAATGGAATGTCTCAGTGTAAAACCCGATTGAATGTTCTATTTACTGAGATAGAAGAAAACTGCCTTAGGGCTGGAGGTGAGACATGCTGGTGGCAGTACTGCTCGTTAATGCACCAAGATGCTTATGTAAGTGCGCATCAAAGCACAGCACCCTTTCTTAACCTTATTTATGACACAGAGACATCTGTTCACATGTTTTCCTGCTGACCCTCTCCTCACTATTACCCTATTGTCCTGCCACATCCCCCTTTCTGAGATGGTAAAGATAATGATCAATAAATACCAAGAGAACTCAGTCTCTCCTCCCACCTGACGAGAGAAACGCCCACAGGTGTGGAGAGGCAGGCCCCTTTCAGTTGGGATTATAGGCATGAACCACTGCGCCTGACCACATCCTGTCCTTTTAAAGGGTATGGATTAAAGGGGTTTAGAGTTTGTAGCAAGAAAAGGAATCACCTGAACAGATGAAATTAAATTTTATTTAAGGCTCTGATTCAGTGGCTGTGATCAGACTAGTTTACAAATTTTACCTTAACTGCAAAACCAGTGCTATTGCTTTTGTACCTAATAATTACTAGAAATAAGTTTTTTCTTTTTTCCTGGCAGGTTAAAAAAGAAAGCACTTATTGTTTGATTCTCATCCTTGGGTTTGAACCCTCATGCAAGAAATTTCTTATAAGATGGAAAAGAGAAATGAAAGTAGGCATGTGGAAGGTGTGTAAGTGTGGTAGTAGACCAAACCTCAAACCTAGTGACCAAACAAAGAGACAGCAGTGGAAGTTCAGAATTTTCTACTTCCATGCCATCTCTGTTTGGGCATGCACACTATGGAATTTTTTAGCAGTCACCACTTGTATGCTTGCTACATACCAGAAATATAGCTGCTGTACAATAGCACTCCGGATCTTCATAACAATTTATGTTACAGGTAAAGAGCTGTTGATGCCCAAGGTGGTTAAGTAACTCATTCCAAGTTAACCAACTAATCAGCAGCAGAGCCGGGATCTAAACCCAGTTCTCATTCTAGGCCTCTGCTCAGTCCACTCCATGATGCTGCCTCTCACTAGGAGGGACTTGCAGGTTATCAAAGACACCAGAGGCAGTGAAAAGGCACATACAAAGAAAATGAAATAAGCCAAGGACTCGTCAGGATGTCTACAATACTGTCTGTCTGGTGATTGAGGCTCCCTATTTTAAACAGTTTAATGTCATTTCCTACCTGCAACAGCTCTGCAGCAGCATCTGCAAGACCAAACTCTCTCAGCACTCGAATCTGAATTTCATAGCTGACGGTGGCGCCTTCCCCACAGTTCAGGGCGTAGGCCCTCTGCACCTGCTCCGTGTGCCGCAGTTCCTGCAGTCGTCTGACCATGTCTTTCATAATGAGGAGACGAGGAACTGGAAGGAGAAAAACAGTGGAGTGGGCAAGCAAAATTCCTGAGCTACACAAAAAATGACCCCGTGAGCCCAAGGGAAAAAAGCATGTATTTCATACCAGAATCTTATATGTTTTTTAGATAGTATTTTAATTTCCTGGGGACATATTCATTTATATATCTCTAATTAGTTATCAAGGTTTTAAAATTTCACTATGCCCAAAGGCTCTTGATTATACTGAACAGCCTGAGTTGTATTATTTTAGTTTACAGTTCAAATACATTTTTACTTGCATGTATTCTCATCTGAATCGCAGGATATTTCAGAAGTCTTTAAATATATTCATTCTATTATTCAAATAATTTTTTGAGTCCTGACTATGCACCAGGGATTGGACTTGGTTATTAGGGTGTACAGAATGAAACACACGATTCCTCTTCTCAAAAGTTTCTGGCTTAGTGATATGAACTAAACCAGAAGTAAACAAATACAATATAAGGTCATAAATGCTACTGGAGAGAAATATGTAAAGGACACTGAGGGACTGGGAGGAAGGGGCACAGCAGCCAAATTGGGGACAGACAAGAAAGACGTCAAGGTGTACACAGAGCAGATTCTTGAAGAATGAAGGGAAACCAGATGGGCAAAAAAAGCTTTCTGAGCAGAAGGACTGGGTGTGTGTAAAACATGCTGAGACAGCCTGGCAGAAGTGGTTGGCATGGCCAGCAGAACTCAGGGTTCAGAGCTATAAGCAGGAAGAGTGTGAAGAGAGGAGGCAGAAAGATGGCTACTGGCAGATCATGGATAAAGAATTGAAACTGTACCCTGTGCACAACAGGCAGTCACTTTTGCAGGAGGATGACAGGATCAGAGCTGTGAACAAGTGCACTCTGATGTTAATGTAAAATGGGCAGGCATGCTGTGACTGGAAGGCTAAATCAAGCTTGCTGTCTGCCTTTGTAAATAAAGTTTTACTGGAATGTAACTTACTCATTCATTTAGGTACTGTCTATGGTTGTTGTATGGGAGGTGAGTAGACAGAGGCAACAGACTGTATGGCTTACAGAGCCTGAAGTATTTACTATCTGGCCCTTTCTGAAAAAAGTATGCCAGCTGACCAGCCGGTGTAAAAGACAGAATTTTGAGTAAGATGAGAGGTGGGAACACTGGTTAGAAACCTGAACTAGGGCTGTAGCTGTAGGGCTGGAGAGGGGATGGAGTCTATGAATATTTATGAGAGAAACTGACTAGAGCAGTGATTATTATTTTTTAGGGATAAAAGGAACTAGCATTTACTGAGTGCTTACTTTGTGCCAGGCAAACTCCTGTGCATATTATTCATGGTGCTTCATTAAATCCTCACAATTCTAGGAAGGAGGTATGAGCCCCAATTCATGGATGAGGAAATTAATGTTCAGGAAAGAAAATATTAATACCATGTCCAAAGTCATACAAAGTAACAGAGCCAGTATATGAGCCCTCTAATCCTCTGCAACAAGCTATCTATCCTTTCACGAATGTGGTGGGCAGGGAAGTAAGCAGCAGCCAGGATGCTACCAGAACAGGGCCATATCTCATTAGCTAAACAATAGAGAGACAAGCCTTATTTTTCTGAGCATATTTACTTGAGAATGTCTAGACTTTTGAGATTAAGTTCTAAGATTAAATTATGCTGATTTTCAACTGCAGTAACTCAAGCCTAAAAAGCCAGGCTAATTAGCAAAGCTTCAAAATCTGCATAAATCAGCTAAAGAAATAGTTCTCTTCATGCTTTTAACTAATGTATATTTCAAGTAAATATGCAGTGGCCAAATTTGATAAGGTAACAACTGAAGAAAGTCATTAGCCCCAGAAAAAAATATATGTATTCAATGAAAAGTTCTGTCACTATGTCTTTTATGCATCTTTAATTACAATAGACATTTATAAGCAGAAATAAATATTGCGATAATGTGCTGGTTTCTACTTTGAATCTTGCAATGACAATTAGCAAGAGTTACAAGTTCCTGACCACCAGATCACTGTTGCTTTTTTTAGACTTCTTTGGTTAAAGTAAACATTTATTGATGCTCAAACGTTTTTGGACGTGACAGTTATACTCTGATCGATGGCCAATTCCCCTAAAGTCATAAGACATAAACCTGTGCTACAGTAAACTTCCCAGAGCAGAACTTGGGAAATTGGATCTCTAGGAAACCCACAGTGATCACATTTTGGAAGGCCACAGACTCAAAGGTATAATAGGCTAGAAAGGCCACAGACTCAAAGGTATAATAGTGCATTTAACCCTCCCAAAGGGTCTTATAACCTGAGAAATACCCTATAGTGATAAAAAAACAAACAAAAAAAATCACACAAACTTAATTCCTCTAAACCAGTGGTTCTCAAAATGGGTGACTTTGTCCCACAAGGCACAACTGGCAATGTCTAGAAACATAAAAATGTTTCCAAAAGGTTTTCGCAGAGGTGTGCATGCATGCACATATGTGCTCCTAGCATTTAGTGAGTACAGGCCAGGGATGCAGCTGACCACCCTACAAAGCACAGGACAGCTCTCCATTAACAGAATAATCCAGCCGCACACGTCAGTAAGACCAAGGCTGAGAAACTCAAGGGTAAACTGACAAACTCTATACACTTAGTAATACAAAACAAAATATAAAGCAAAAGTTTTGGCTTAAAAGTATTTATTCTTTAAGGTGAACAAGGCATAAAGGGTATTGAAATGTGGAGAGAATTAGCATATACAGAGGGGTTCAAACATCAGCAATTTCAAACAATAATAAGATTATTCATTTAAATATAAACACCCAATATACTGCCTTACCTGGAATTTCGTTGGCTACAACTGAAGGAGGGCTTGACTGGTTGCTGCTGATCTGCTGGTGGCTGATCATGTGACAACACTGAGGCACGGCATTATTGACCATGTAGAGCGTGTCTGGCACATTGGACATCCTAACCATTCGCAAGCGCACAAGATCCGTTTGTTCCACCATCATCTCATCCAGCACTGACTGAAATAATCATTCAGTGTTAACAAAACCAGTCAACCTCCCTCTGTTAAATCACATTTGAAGGAAGATTATTACTTTCATCAAATAAAAAGGGAATTAATTTATTTCTATTTTATAAATGTTAATATTAGTGGTGAAACAAAGTTCCCCTACATCTTTAACTTTTAACGACTCTTTCAGCAGCATCTTTGAAAAGACATAACCATCTTTTGAAAAGTCTGCTTTTAATTAGAAGTATTTGAAATGTGAAGGAAGGATATAAAATTAATCAGAAATAAATTACACATAATATTATAATAAAGAAAACAATGTATACATGTGCTAAATAACAAAGCCAACAAAGTGCTCCAAATACAAATACTGAAGGTTGATAATCAGGGCCAGGCGTGGTGACTCACGCTTGTAATCCCAGCACTTTGGGAGGCTGAGGTGGGTAGATCACTTGAGGTCAGGAGTTCAAGACCAGTCTGGCCAACAAGGTGAAACTCCATCTCCACGAAACATGTAAAAATTAGCCGGATGTGGTGGCGGGTGCCTATCATCCCAGCTACTCGAGAGGCTGAGGCAGGAGAACTGCTTGAACTTGGGAGGAGAAGGATGAAGTAAGCCGAGATCTCACCACTGCACTCCAGCCTGGGTGACAAGAGTGAAACTCCGTCTTTAAAGAAAAAAAAAAAAAAAAAAGACTGATAATCAATTGAAGAGACCTATAAACAAACCAATTTTTCTTTTTTGAAGAAAAAAGAAAAATGTTGCCTGGGCTGGAGTGCAGTGGCGCCATTATGGCTCATTGCAGTCCTGACCTCCCAGGCTCAAGAAACCCTCCCACTTCAAGTCTCTTGAGTAGCTGGGACCGCAACAGCACACCACCACACCTGGTTAATTTTTATTTATTTATTTTTATTTTTTGTAGAGACAGGGTCTCACTAGGTTGCCCAGGCTGGTTTTGAACTCCTGGACTCAAGTGATCTTCTTCAGCCTCCCAAAGTGCTGAGATTACAGGTGTAAGCCACCACACCTAGTCTAAAAATGAGAAACATTATGAGGCAACTTGATTGTATACTCATTGAGTATACACACTGTTTGGTCTGTTAAATTTATTTCAGAAAGCTTAATAGTGATTTCTTACTTTCAAAGACTATCAGTTCCTCAAAAGGTCACTCAGTTTTTTTTTTTTTTTGAAGACTGGTTCTTACTCTGTCGCCCAGGTTGGAGTGCAGTGGCCTAATCACGGCTCACTGTGCAGCCTTTGCCTCCCAGGCTCAGGTGATTCTCCGAAATGAGCCTCCTGAGTAGCAGAAATCAGGGTGCACACCACCACAACTGGCTAAATTTTTCCTTTTAGTGTTTGGTAGAGATGGGGTTTTACCATGTTGCCCAGGATGGACACCTGAAAGTTCTTATGGCTGAACATCTAATAAAAATTAGATGTTTCATTTTCACATTATCATATTTTCTCAGTTTTTCATGTTACAATATACATAATGCCAACTAGTTACTTAACAGGCCTGAATTTTTTTCTTACTTTGTGCATTTATTCTAAAACTAAACATAATTCCCAACGGTCAGCTATTACAGAAATATGTAACAAGAGGTCGTGGCATTCCTTTAATTTACAAAGGAAGTCAAAGAGTGGGCAATCTTCTTTCAGAACATTTCCCCCATCCTCAAGATCACAACATAGTGACAACCATTTTCAGCAAGTGGTAACAATTTGCAAGGCAATTAAGTTAACAATTTGCAAGGCAACTAAAATGAGAAAAATATAAAATGCATTTTAACATAACCTAAGTTTTAAAAACATGCTTAATTAAAATTAAACATTTCAGAAAACTATTCTGTTGAGTAGTCAAACTAGAACTTACTTTCATTTTCCCTATTGTTGAAAATATAGGCTATTTCCAAATATTTAAGTAATACTACAATGAATCACTTTGTGCATATGGTTTGTAATAAAGTAGTCTACTATCTTCAAATGGTTTTCATTACCTTTGCTTCTTCCACATAGGGAGAGAAGAGTCGAGGACGAACATAGATGCCAGCATTTTTTTGCCGCAACCAGGCATTTGACTTTCCGCCTTCTGTTGTAGGAAGCATATCTGATGGAGGAGTACTAATCAAGCCTCTTTTCATCTAAAAAGAAAATTTTTTAGATAGCAATCTGTGTAGTACTACAATACTACAAAGATAAATAAAAATATTTATAACTGTAAATACAAATATGCAAGTTTATCATTTAAATAAAAATTTAGAAATGTATATGAAATTTAGAAATACCTCAAATTTTTTTTTTTTTGAGACGGAGTCTCATTCTGTCGCCCAGGTTGGAGTCCAGTGGCATGATCTTGGCTCACTGCTACCTCCATCTCCCGGATTCAAGTGATTCTCCTGCCTCAGCCTCTCGAGTAGCTGGGATTACAGGTGCGCACCACCACGCCTGGCTAATTTTTTGTATTTTTAGTAGAGACGGGGTTTCACCATGTTGGTCAGGCTGGTCTTGAACTCCTGACCTCGTGATCTGCCCGCCTCGGCCTCCCAAAGTGCTGGGATTACAGGCATGAGCCACTGCACCCGGCAAAATACCTCAAATTTTTAATAATATTTAAAAGATTTGCAATAAAAAGATACCATAATTTCCCATTTTACTCTAAATAGAGGAATATTTTTAAAAACAAGCGATATATTAATTAAAATGTAGTAAGTTGGACTAAAGATCAGAACTCTTAATGAAAACCAATTTTTTTTTTTCTTTACTCATCTAGGAACAAATTCATTTCCCACCCAACTCCCCAAGACAAAACGAGAACACTGACATGGGCCTACATCTGCAGTACAAGGATACAGGAAGGCTACCACAGCACTTAGCAACACAGGCTCTGGGGAAGGCAGATGTAGTTCAAACTTCAACTCCTGCATTTAATAGCCATGTGACCATGGACATCTCCTTTACCTGGGCTTCACTTTACGGGGCTCCTGTATGGCCCTGGGGGCGAGGCAGTGCACAGCTAAGTGAATGAGGTATCCCCGTTGTTTCCTGACTGATGCCAGGAGCATCTGTATCAAGTACCTTCAGTTCCTAAGGTGGTGTGAGGGTTAAATGAAGGCAATGCAGATGAAAGCACTTGGCACAGTGCTTAGCACACACTAAGAGAGCATGAAAGTTAACAGCCATTATTAGCAAACCTGTGTTGGGGACTTATGATGTGTTAGCCACGGAACTAAGAGCAGAGGTATATATTTCGTAACCAAAGTTCTAAAATACTTTTCTAAACTACATACAGGGTTCAATTTGATTTGAGTACCAGGTTTTAAACAAAACCAAAAGTTGTTTCTGCAATATTACTCTCGTTAACTATAATCAATAGCTGCATTAGTTAAAATCACTTTTAACTAGTAAAATACAGCATCATCTAGTATTTAGAAAATAGAGAAAAAAAAGTCAATACTTTTATTACAACTGTAATGTTGATATATTTCCTTCCAGTCTTTTCTTTTTTATTTTTATTTTTTTGAGACAGGGTCTCACTGTGATGCCCAGGCTGGAGGGCAGTGGCGAGATCTCAGCTCACTGCAACCTCTGCCTCCTGGGCTCAAGCAATTCTCTCATCTCGGCTTCTCAAGTAGCTGGGACTACAGATGCATGCCACCATGCCTGGCTAATTTTTGTATTTTTTGGTAGAGACAGTGTTTCACCATGTTGGCCAGGCTGGTCTCGAACTCCTGAACTCAAGTGATCTGCCTGTCTTGGCCTCTGAAAGTGCTGGGATTACAGGCACCTGGCAGAGTCTTTACCAAACAAGTTTTACATAGTTGAATTTGAGAATACATAAAAATACATACTTTGCATCATCCTTTTTTTCTCCTTCTTTTGTTTGATAGAGTCTTGCTCTGTCACCCAGGCTGGAGTGCAGTGGCACAATCTTGGCTTGCCTCTGGGTTTAAGCAATTCTTGTGCCTCAGCCTCCTGAGCAGCTGGGATTAACGGAGTGTGCCACCACGCCCGGCTAATTTTTGTATTTTTTAGTACAGACAGGGTTTCACTATGATGGCCAGGCTGGTCTTGAACTCCTGACCGCAGGTGATCCATCCACCTTGGTCTTCCAAAGTGCTGGGATTAAAGGTGTGAGCCATCGCGCCCGGCCACTATACAGTCTTTATAACAACTGTTCAGGGGAGCAAAATATTCTGCTGTGTAGTGGTAGTATAACTACTACCTCAACAGGTGAAAAAATGGTAACTGTTTTATTTTGCTTTCTCTGGTGTGTGTGTGTAATTAGTGAGACTGAATTTTTTTTTTTTCTAATCAGAATCCACAAATATTTTTTTAAATTTTATTTTAATTTATTTTTATTACTGCTCCTTGTGGAAGCAGGGTTACCCCATAGGCAGTATGCCCAGAGTAGCCCATAAATACTTCTTGAAAACAATACTGTTTTCTTCTAGTTCTTTCATGTTTCAATTTAGTATTTAATTTTTCAATCTAACAAGGATTAATTTTATGTGCCAGTGAAACAACAGTTTAACTTTCAGCGAATTTCTTCTTCTGTTAATCAGTTAATCTAGCACCACATTGACTTGTGATAGTTCGTTTATTATTATGTTTTCTGTTTTTTTTTTTTTTTTTTTTCTTTTCTTCCTTGAGTCAGGGTCTCATTCTGTTGGCTGATTATGGCTCATGGCAGCTTTGACCTCCTGGGCTCAAGTGATTCTCCTGCTCAGCCTCCCAAGTAGCTGGGACTACAGGCACACACCACCGCACCTGGCTAATTTCTGTGAAATTTTTTTTGGAGAGATGGGGTCTTGCCATGTTGCCCAGGCTGATGTTGAACTCCTGGGCTCAAGTGATCTGTCCGCCTTGGCCTCCCAGAGTGCTGGGATTAAAAGCAAGTGCTACTCTGCCCATCCAGTTTAATTCTTACATTAACTAAGACTTTTTTCTCGACAATTTTGTCTGCTATGCTAGAATCACAGATAAAATATTAACATTTTAAAATGTTTTACGTTTTAGATGCTATCTCTTCTTATGTCCTTTTAAAAGAAGTTATAAAAATTTCTCATGAGTTGTTTTTCCAGATGACTTTTATAATGTTCCTGTGCAGTTTAAAAAAAAACCCGTTATGACGTTTATAAGCACTACATTAAGTCGGTAAGTCAATGTGTTAAGAACTAATATTTATAAAATTTATTTTTCCCATCCACAAATTCGGGCAATTCTATTAATTTTTTTTTTTTTTTTTTTTTTTGAGATGGAGTCTCGCTCTGTCACCCAGGCTGGAGTGTAGTGGCTCGATCTCGGCTCACTGCAACCTCCACCTCTCGGGTTCAAGAAATTCCCCTGCCTCAGTCTCCCAAGTAGCTGGGATTATAGGCATACACCACCACGCCTGGCTAATTTTTGTATGTTTAGTAGAGATGGGGTTCTACCATGTTGGTGAGGCTGATCTCAAACTCCTGACCTCAGGTGATCCCCGCCTTGGCCTCCCAAAGTGCTGGGATTACAGGAGTGAGCCACTACACCCAGCCAATTCTATTAATTTTTAAAAAATTCACTGTTTAAAAATTATGAAAGTAATAAGATGAGCTGTATTAATTTTCAGGTCCATCCATTCTTTATCTATTGAGCCATCCCTCTACTCCACTGCTCTCTGATTCATTGCTGTTCTTGAAGACTCTCCAAAGGTAATTTCTACCTTTTCCTTTTTGAATAAGGGTCTACTTGATCTACACTTAAATGACGGAATTAACTCTGCTAGAAATAATGCGCTTGCATGAGTAAGACCTATTTACCCACTTGACTCTCATTCACCGAACATTTTAACTGTACTATGTGACAGACACAGGGGACACAACATCGCACACAACAGACATCTGTCTGTCCTCACAGAATTACAGCTTCACAATACTGTGTTAGTACTACAAATTATTTACAATGAATAAAAACATACGCCTGGCATTTTTCTTTTCATGAAAGGAATACATGGAGAAAAATACTTACTGCATCACTTAAGACTTCACTGCTTATAGGTAAGATGTGTTCAATTCGCACAAAAGGTAAGAGAGAAGAAAGGATCTCTCTGAGCTCTTCCATGTCCAGGTCCCGTCTTTTTACACCTCTTTTGTTCACACTATGGGCAGTGCCACTCAGTAAGTTTGGCTCTACAAGACAGAAAATGAAAAGTTTCCAACCAAATCCAAATGTTCTGAGACAGGTATGCTTTGTTCTCTAGCACATACACCAACAGTACCACTCTATTGACTTATGTGCCTCTGCTTTAAAAAGGGTTATAAATCAATTATTTTTCTTTCATAAGATGTTTAATAGGGATGTTCTTGGATAAAGAAAAAGCATGGTATCAACAATACAATAAAATTATTTTATCACTGCTCTGCAATAAAGAATAAAGGATTCCTTTCTATAGCCTAACTCAAAAGAGAAAAGATGACAATCTACTACATCTAATTTTATCAAGGGCTTTTTAAAAAGCTTTCTTACTTTTGTGACCAGTTTTTAGTAGTATAAGGTCACTGAAGGGCACATGCCATTTCCGGTCACTGTAGGTTATCAGCATGCTCATTAGCCTACATATGTGTAACAGTAATTTAACAATGTGTTAATCACCTGGCGTTTGAAGCGGCAAAGCCGAATGTGCTTTATTTAGTTTTAAGATTCTTATGAAAATCTCCCAAATTTCCATAATATGGGAATATTACTGCATAAAAGTAGACCCTTTGATCTTTGACATGTAATATATGTCCACAGTCCAGGGCAGAGAATGATTGCTTCACTGGGCATTAGTGAACGACAATCTGAAATACGTATGCTTATGATATTGAGGTGGGAAGAAAAATTACATAATTTGGAAATCTTTAATCATGTCTTTAGGGGTCTGTAATTTTTTTCTTAAAAAAATTAACACAGAATAAGATAACACAGAATAAGATCTTTATCATTCATAAATATAACTGTTGGATTTTTTTCAAATATTCTACAAGAAAACTGATATTTTCCTTAATTCATGTGTGTGTGTGTGTGTGTGTGAGTGTGAGTGTGAAAGAGAGACAGAGAGAGAGAGAGATTATCTTTGAGAAGCCAAGTGTTGTGGATTCATTCAGAATAAAATTGTTAACTGTGTAGAAAAGAATTGTTTTTTTTTTTCCCTTGTCTAGCTATGATTTAGTTTCATACTTATTTCAGGCATTTTGCTTTTCAAAATATGGTTTTTTTCTTAAAGTAGTGACATCCATTTTCATATAAAATCTTACACGAAACCCCCAAATATGTGACAGGTAAGGGCAGAATCCTTCTGTATAAAACTGACTGAAACAAAGCTATGGCCTGGTTCACCTTGCTTCCTTCTCATCCCTAACCCAGTTTGGAAACTACCTTTTATTTATTTTTCTATTATTATTTTTTAAGACGGAGTCTTGCTCTGTTGCCCAGGCTAGAAGGCAGTGGCATGATCTCGGCTCACTGCAACCTCCACCTCCCGGGTTCAAGCGATTCTCCTGCCTCAGCTTCCTGAGTAGCTGGGATTACAGGCGCTCACCACCACACCCAGCTAATTTTTGTATTTGTAGTAGAGACGGGGTTTCACCATGTTGGCTAGGCTGGTCTGGAACATCTGACCTCATGATCCACCTACCTTGGCCTCCTAAAGTGCTGGGATTACATGCGTGAGCCACCATGCCTTGCCTAGAAACTATTTTTCTAAGGAAAATTTTAACCCTTAAGGATGCTTGTTATCTGCCCCAAATAAATGAAATTTCATCACCACCAACTTTACATCAATGAACAAGCTTACGGGCTATAACATTTACACAGAGTTATATACAATCGGTTCTTGTTATCTCGAGTAGTTATAAAGTCAACACAAACAATGAATCAGTGAATACTGAGCTCTTGTTCATAGGGAAAACACAGAGTTAGGTTCCTGTGAGCCTCTGGGCACAACATTTTTGTCAAATGATTAAGGCAGAACCTTGTTTTATGTGTTTCTGTTTAAAGACTATTTAATGTATGTGGCTGATTCATTAACACTAACCTCATGACCAACAGCACTGTAACTCACGCCTGAATGAAGCTCATCTAACCCATGTATTGTCTCTGTAAGGCACACCACAGCCTTCTTGTTCTCAGGAACACTAGACAGCACTTCATACTACACCTGGGGGCCATCTTAAACAGTGAGATCACGAAAACACAAAAATGTAAAACGTGGCACTTGGTAACATCTGAAACAAGAAGGCAGAGTGCCTCTGTCTTGTTAGAACTCAGCTGGGAATGTGCTTGTTGGGAGATCAAGCTTTTTGCTACTTCATGCATGTCCAGGAATGACCATGAAAGTACCACCAGTATTGATTTTGGGGTTACAAATAAATTTTAGTGACTAGGTAAGTTGACAAATATAAAAGCCACGAATGAGAACTAATTGTATACTGGCATTTAAAATTCTTTCTAAATCAATTGTAATGGTTTTCATATTTAAAAAAATTCATAACTTGCTGGGCATGGTGGATCATCTGAGGTCAGGAGTTTGAGAACAGCCTGGCCAACATGGCGAAACTCTGTCTCTACTAAAAATAACGAAAATTAGCCATGCGTGGTGGCATGTGCCTATAATCCCAGCTACTCAAGAGGCTGAGGCAGGAGAATAGCTTGAACCTGGGAGGCAGAGGTTGCAGTGAGCCAAGATTGCGCCACTGTACTCCAGCCTGGGAGACAGAGCAAGACTCCGTCTCCAAAAAAAAAATTCATAACTTTGCTGCTCTCTGAAATACAATTTTAAAAATAAAAATTAAAAAAAAATCAAATCTGAGAATTGCTAAAGGTTTTTGCCAGCCACAGAAAAGAATTGGAGAAATAAAATAGAAGGACTGCTTTTGTTCCCTAGAGCTTGGATAGTAGCATATTAAAGAAACACCATAAAAAGGCTTAAAGGCAGGTTTAGCACAACATTTTTTATATTTAAAAATGTGACAAAACAACTCTATAAATGTACTAAAATCCACTGACTTGAACACTTTAAACCAGTGAACTTTTAAGATATGTAAATTATATCTAAATAAAGCTATCGAAAGGTGACAGAAAAAGGAAATCTGTATTTAATTTTTCTAATTAAAAATTTTAAATTTAGGTTCAGTACATAAAGGAACACAATGATGTTTGAGGGAAGAACAGGTGGGTGGGCTAACCCTAGACACAAACAAAAGACTGCTGTAGAATCATAAATTTCCAAAGTTGAAAGCCCAGCCTCCGACATATGATGCTTCCTTCTCTTCTGCAGTGACCCCACTGGGAGGTCATTCAGAAGTATTATTTGTTTCTCTTTTACCTTCCACAACATTTCTCTTTTTTTGAGACAAAATTTTGCTCGTTGCTCGGGCTAGAGTGCAATGGCGCAATCTCGGCTCACCATAACCTCCGCCCCACGGGTTCAAGTGATTCTCCTGCCTCAGCTTCCCAGGTAGCAGGGATTATAGGCATGCACCACCACGCCTGGCTAATTTTTTTTACTTTTAGTAGAGATGGGGTTTCTCTATGTCGGTCAGGCTGGTCTCGAACTTCCAACCTCAGGTGATCCACCCGCCTCAGCCTCCCAAAGTGCTGGGATGACAGGCGTGAGCCACTGCGCCTGGCCTACTTTTTTTTTTTTTTTTTTGAGACGGAGTCTCGCTCTGTCACCCAGGCTGGAGTGCAGTGGCCCAATCTCAGCTCACTGCAAGCTCCGCCTCGCGGGTTCACGCCATTCTCCTGCCTCAGCCTCCAGAGTAGCTGGGACTACAGGCGCCCGCCACCGCACCCAGCTAAGTTTTTGTATTTTTAGTAGAGACAGGGTTTCACTGTGGTCTCGATCTCCTGACCTCGTTATCTGCCTGCCTTGGTCTCCCAAAGTGCTGGGATTACAGGCATGAGCCACCGCGCCCGGCCTACTTTCTACAACATTTAAAAATAAACAGTGAATGCTTTTTCATTTGTACTCTTTTTTTTTTTTTTTTGAGTCTCGCTCTGTCACCCACGTGGAGTGCAGTAGTGCAATCTCAGCTCACTGCAACCTCTGCCTCCCAGGTTCAAGTGATTCTCACGCCTCAGTCTTCGAGTAGCTGGGAGTACAGGCATGTGCCACCACCTCCCACTAATTTTTGTATTTTTAGTACAGGTGGGATTCTGCCATGTTGGCCAGGCTAGTCTCAGACTCCTGACCTCAGGTCAGCCTGTACTCGTATTTTTAAATTGAGGTTAAAATTCACATAACACAAAATTTATTTAAAACATTTTAAAGCGTACCATTCAGTGGCTCTTACTATACTCTTATTGTTGTGTAACCATCAACACTAATTCCACATTTTCATCATTATGCTTTTGTAACACTTTAGTCATTATATGAAATTATATTAAATTTTTCATTCTAATACTTCCATGAATCAGTCAACATGTTTTATTAAGCACCTAAGAACATTATAATAAAAAGTATCCTTTTAAAGCTGCAAAATAAGACTTTCTGATATATTTTATTTATTTATTTATTTATTTATTTATTTATTTATTTTGAGACGGAGTCTTGCTCTGTCGCCCAGGCTGGAGTGCAGTGGCATGATCTTGGCTCACTGCTACCTCCATCTCCCGGATTCAAGTGATTCTCCTGCCTCAGCTTCCTGAGTAGCTGGGATTACAGCCGCTCACCACCACACCCAGCTAATTTTTGTATTTGTAGTAGAGACGGGGTTTTTCACTGTGTTAGCCAGGATGGTCTCGTCTCCTGACGCTTTGTTGAGTCCGCCGTTCTTGGCCTCCCAAAGTGCTGGGATCACAGGCTTGAGCCACCACGCCCGGCCTGATATATTTATTTTAATAAACTATACCCTGTCCACTAAAGAATTTTGCCGATGGTAAAAACTTCCATTTTCACCAGGCAACAGTGTCAGTTTTCAAGACTGATGTGCGGCATGCATTTCTGTAAGCTGGGAATGTAAGAACCACCAAAAATTTACACAAGGTAACTAGCGCAAGCTAATTTTCTGAGCTTACCTCTATCTGCTATTCTTTTCATCAACTGATGCTCTCCCCATTTAATCAGATATTTAAGGATATCTTGTTCACTTGCCTGTAATAAAAAATGGTTTATATTTATTTTAGTGAAATTAGATAAGTGGTTAATTTCATTAAGGACTTTTCGTAAGTGGGAAATACAGCACGCAACTTACCATGTTTCACTCTTTCCATTGGCTGAAGTTTTAGTGTTAAATCTGTGGTCCATCGACAGGAAATACACAAGACTGTATTACATATATTTTATCCAGTAACCTCACTCTTGGCTCCAACTAATTTTTAAATTTCATTTCTATCTTCTTTTTCTGTAATCTGCTCCCTTCCTATTTTATTTTTTCATTTTAATTTTTCCTTTTGAGATGGAGTTGCACTCTATTGCCCAGGCTGGAGTGCAACAGTGCCATCATGAGTCTCTGCAGTCTCAACCTCCTGGGCTCAAGGGATTCTCCCCATCTCAGCCTCCTGAGCAGCTGGGACTACAGGTGTGTGCCACCACACCCAGTTAATTTCTTTTTTTTTTTTTGAGATGGAGTCTCGTGCTGTTGCCCAGGCTGGAGTGCAGTGGCGTGATCTTGGCTCAATGCAAGCACCGCCTCCTGGGTTCACGCTATTCTCCTGTCTCAGTCTCCCGGGTACCTGGGACTACAGGCACCTGCCACAATGCCTGGTTTTTGTATTTTTAGTAGAGATGGGGTTTCACCTTGTTAGCCAGGATGCTCTCGATCTCCTGACCTTGTGATCTACCCAACTCAGCCTCCCAAGTGGCTAAGTTTTAAAAAATTTTTTGTAGAGATGGGGTCCTACCTGTTGCCGAGGCTGGTCTCACACTCCTGGGCTCAAGCAACCCACTTCCTATTTATTTTATCTTACTATGTGGTTTCTATAAAGCTGCCTTAAATTCTCTTTTGGAAGAAAACACAGATAAGTAAATGAAAGTATAAGTATAGGGTATAGGCAGAGTAACTACTAACTCCTGGAGGGACAGGAAAAACAAGTCAGTCAACTTGTTTTTGCAAAAGAAACTAAAATCTCTACAAGGTATTTTACTGGTTGGTGAAGCACAATCTGTGAAATGGCAATGTATCCCTCATTTCTCTGTATTTTATTTAAAATCTTAGAGCAAATCTAGGCTGCTCTCCATTTTTTTTTTTTAATACTTTCTAAGAAGGAATGCAAAGCTCCTAAAGCAATAATCTAAGAAAACTAACAACTTCTAACACAAACATAAAGCATCCAGTTTTGATCAGGACAATGAGACGAGGTTAATGAACAAAGATTCTCCATAAATCAAGCCCAAGTATGACATCTGTACTGCAATCAAAGCAACAAGGGAAAAGCACAGATGCTGAGTGTATTATTTAACTCTCCACTGCATTTCTGACTAAAACGGTAGCATTTTATCATTTTTCTAGTACAAACACAAAGAAATAGGAAGTGGCTCAATGGGTTTATGTCTTTAATAGCATTAAAACAGTTGTACAGTTTTTAGCATAAAATTCATACAGCCAATGGAACAAAATTAAACTTGAATATACTTTGCCTGCAAGTATTTTCTGTAATATATAAAATCTACTATTAATTTAAATTTCCAAATTAAATTGACATTTAAGTCAAGAACACAAGAATCTGCTAAAAACTACTTCTGCTTAAAAACAAGTAGTTGAAAACATTACCATGCTTTGGAAGAATACATGCGCTGAGTTTTGATAACCATCTGAGCAGATCAGAAAGTGAACACTATTTTTACTTTGTGCTGCTGAAGCTACTGTCTACAGTCTAAGTATGGGATGCTCCACCAAAAGTAAGAAACCACCATACACAAGCTACATTAATAGAAGTCAAGAAAATCACTGTTGGGATGTGCTTCTGACCTTGCCTACTGCCCCAATCTCTCTTTGGTGCATCTGGCTGGGACCTGGGCTTGTTCAGTGTTGAGTCATGGCAGCAGGGTAATGAAGAGCTAGTGAGACAGAAGGCTTTTGTTGTACAACTATGAAGGAGGCAGTTCCTGTGTGGTTTGATCACAGCCTGTTTCTCTTCCCCTGCCCTACCCTACATGGAAGAGTAATAGAGCATAGATGGATTTTTTTGGTGCACATATGAATGACAATGAGTTTGAGAGGTGTTTAAATGATTACCTGTAGGTAGTCAGACTGGATAGCAGTAAGCAGATGGTCTTTGCTGAGTTCATAAAAAACATCCGAAGTCATGACCTGGGAAAATTCCTCACAGAGGAAATGTAAAGCTTGTCGGTGCACCCATTTAGAGCCATATGGATGAGAACTCCACTTGAGGATGGCAATTAAGGTATCTAATGAGATGCTCTCAGCAATGATATCCTCACAGCCTAAAAGAGAAGGCAAATACTTCTTGAGATTAATCATAAATATTACTTATTGAACATTAGTGTGCTAGGCACTATATTTAAAAGTCACAACAGCAAAAAAGAACTCAAGGAGATAAATAAAATCTCATGAAAATCACCAAAACTTGGTGGGATGGGTTAACAATAGACTATGGCATCTATAGAAAATCTGCTGCCTTACAGAGATGGATCTAGAGAAAAAGGCAGAGAATCGTCCCAAGTTCAAGATAATAAACATCTACGTGCAAATCCAACAATGTGAGTAAGACAGTATAGAGGAAGACATTGGACCAAAGGGGAAAGAAGAGTAGGCAAAAAGGCTGCAGTGGTGGAAACTGGCTAGAGGAAGGATGTGGATGACACCTGACTGATGAGAGAACGCACACCTCAGAATAAGGTAGGTGGGCTGCCGGCTATGCAGACATCCACTCTTTGTATGAAAACATAGCACCTTGCATTGTTGACAGTTTAATCCTTCAGAAAACAGACAAAATACATTTGAGCTTAGTTCTGGCAAACCTGAAAAAGGAAGTGAAAAGGACCAGGATCCTGGAGAAAGCAACTATGGCATTTCAAGAACTCAAGAAAGAAAAGAAAACCTAAGGAGACTCAACTCTCCTCCTCAGGAAAGATCATTTCAAAACGTAAAGATAAAATATAAGTAAAAATCTGAGTGACAAAGATTATGGGAGTGAAAATGCCTAAAGTTGAACAGAAATTTTTCATTAAGCTTACTATAAAACAAAAAACAATCCTGATAATGTGAAAACAAACAAACAAACAAAAATAGGCGTTTAAACACCACCACCAGGCCAGGTGCACTGGCTCACGCTTGTAATCTGAGCACTCTGGGAGGCCAAGGCAGGCAGATCACCTAACGTCAGGAGTTCAAGATCAGTCTGGCCAACATGGTGAAACCCGGTCTCTACTAAAAATACAAAAATTAGTTAGGCATCCTGTAATCCCAGCTACTAGGGAGGCTGAGGCAGGAGAATCGCTTGAACTCGAGAGGTGGAGGTTGCAGTGAGCTGAAATCGTGCCACTACACTCCAGCCTGGGAGACAAAGCAAGACTCTGTCTCAAAATTAAATTAAATTAAATTAGACAAACACCACCAAAAATATGGATACACAGAAAGGGCATAAGTGAACTCCAGAGACTTCTAAAGTTCAAAGCTATTTGTGAAACCACGAAAGGTGTAAAGATAAAGGGAGTAAATCCCACTTTGAAGTGACAGAAGATAATGAGTAGCAATATGGAGTCTACAAAAAGTAATCCCTCATTCCCTTTTCTGATATGGTACCAGATGAGAAGAAATATCATAGATAACTGCATAACTTGATTTCCACAAAGCATTTAGAAAATATTTCATGATGCTGCTAAACTGTAAGCACCACAAGATAGGGACTGCTATCTTCAATGTATTCCTAGCACTTGTGCTAAATAAAAACGCGTTGAATGTACAAATGAGATCTTTGCAGATAAGATGAAGAGACAGGGGATGGGATGACAGGGCAGTGGTTAACAGAACCATTCATAAATAGCACTGATTAACTTGATGCATGGAGTGGGAAGTTGGTTTTTGCCATGTTTATCAAGAACTTTGGGCCGGGTGCAGTGGCTCGCGCCTGTAATCCCAGCACTTTGGGAGGCTGAGGCGGGTGGATCACCTGAGGTCAGGAGTTTGAGATCAGCTTGGCCAACATGGTAAAAACCCATCTCTACTAAAAATACAAAAATCCGCTGGGTATGGTGGCACGTACCTGCAATCCCAGCTACTCAGGAGGCTGAGGCAGGAGAACTGCTTGAACCCAGGAAGTGGAGGTTGCAGTGAGCTGAGATCACACCACTGCACTCCAGCCTGGGCGACAGAGTGAGACCCTGTCTCAAAAACAAACAAACAAAAACCTTGGATAATGATGTGGAAAGTATGTTTCAAAATCTTCAGATAACCCCAAACTTGGAAACACAGTTAAAACCACACTGCATAGCAGAATCATAATTGCCTAAAAAGACTGATCAAAATGAAGTTGAAATATAACTAGGAGAATTAGTTCTACATTTAAGAAATCGATTGCACAGCAGATGATGGTTGGCTTAACTAGAACTATATAAAATATCTGGGTTTTTTTTAACTGAATGAATGCAAAATGTGACATGGGTGTTACAGATCTGAATCTGTCTCAGGCTTTTCAGGTACAAGCATCCAGCTGTAATCAAAGGACCAGTGTTGCTGCTTTCTGCGGAGTGCGGTCTGCTTTCTGCGGAGTGCTGTGTTGTTCTGGGCCCCGTGGGTCAGTTTAGATGAGCACTGACCAAACTGCAAGAGTCTCAGGAGGGCGAGGGAATAGTGGAGAGTTTGCAACTTATCACAGGAGAAAAGCTCCAAGCAAGAGATTATTTGAGTTATGTAAGAGAATCCTGAGGAGAGACGTAAGAGCTGTCTTTAAATGCCTCTTCATGAGGCAGAGGAGAAATAACTGATTTATCCGTTGTTCCCAGGAAACAGACAGATGTTAAAAGCAGGGAGATTTTGGTTCAATGATAAGAAATTTCTAACAATTAGAATTTCCATCCTCTTCTCCCATCAAAAAAAGGAACCCTCTAGAAAGTGTCAGAGCAGAGGCTGGCTCATCACACTAGGGATAGAGTATAAAGAACCCTGATGCTGGAAAGGGAACTAAGGTCAGAAGACATCCAAGCTGATTTCATCACAAAGACAAAACGGGTTTTTATAAAGATGGTAACAGAGCAAGTAAAAGACATATTTATTCTAAGCACTAAAAGAATATCCCTATAAGGAACACAATGAGACCACCACATTTATATCCACATATAGATGACACCCAAAGGCATGAAGATGTGCTGATGAGAAGCGGGAAATATGGGAAAGTTTTCAACAGTCATCATTTTATGATGAGCCTTTGAGGCTTGAATGCCGAGCTGAGGAGGACAGACCTCATTCAGTAGCCAGTGGCGGACCTCTGTTGGCCTGTTGTTTTAAAGTGGGTATTGGAATAGAATTGAGTGGGATGAGTCAATCTGATAGGAAAGGCAATCTTATAGATGTGTTTGGGAGTAAAGCAGGGGAAATGAGAGAAAAGCTGGTTATTTAAAATGATGTATCACAATCCTACTAAACCAGGATACTGGCAGAGGTGAAGAAAAAGAATGATAGATAACATGATCACAAATTTTTAAACTGCTGAGGTCTACAAAGAAGCAGGATACAGTAGGAAAAAAAATGGGCTTTAAAATCAGACAGATTGGACTCGAAATCCTAGCTCTGCCACTCAGTAGCAAAATCACTTTAGGCAAATCACTTAACTCTCAAGAGTCTGAAATGTTCTCATCTGCAAAGCTGAGATTGTTTCCTACCTCAAAGGGTTGTTATGGGACTTAAATCAGACCATACTCTTGACACTCCACATTTGTTCAAACAGTCTGGAGTACCTAAGCCGAGTACCCTGAATACCCAGCTCTTTTCACTGCCTGGTGATATCACCTGCCCCACGGCCTTCACCTCATTATATCCCTGACTTCCCAGTTGACAGCTCCAAGCCTGAGCTGACTCCCAGTCACACCTGACTTTCACATGGATTGTCCACAAACATCTTAAATGCCAAAGTCAATTCATTTCCTCTGGGAAATCTGGTCCTCTTCAGTCACCAAAGCCAGAGGTCTGAGTGCTATCATGGGGTCCATCTCCGGACGCCCATAACCAATCTGTCACCAGATGCTGTTCATTCTTCTTTTCAATCCAACCCCTCCACAGAATCTCCACTGAATTTTCACCACCTCCTTTTCAGAACCTGATACTTTTCCCCTGCATTACTGAAATGGCCTTTAAAAAAATTTCCACCTCCAGTCTTTCCCCTTCTAATCTGCTCTCTGTACTGTTGCCAAAATGATCTTTTAAAATGTAAATTATATATGCCTCTTTAATGCATTATTCAATAGCTTCATGCTACAAATGATTTCAAGAAAAAGTCCAAGCTACATCTCCCTTGACAATCTGGCACCTGCCTACTCCCCAGCCCATCCCTGAGCAGACTCTACACCCCAGTCATACTTCGTCCCTTCCCATTCCCCAGAAGCCCACCAAACGCTTGCACCTCCAGGCTTTTGCGTGTGTTGTTCCACTTTTCTGAAATGCCCCTAACTCTTTTTCTTAACTTCTCTGCATCTTTAAGTCTCAGCTTAGATGCTGCCTCTTTTAAGAGCCTACTTTGATACTGCTCCTCAAAGTCTTAGGTCAGGTGTTCCTCCTACCTAAAAGTTTCTCTGGTACCCTGTGTTTGTCTATAACAGCACAAAACTCTCATACTACTGTATCTTTCTTATATATATTTGTCTGACTCTTCCACCAGACTAAGCCCCTTTTCAGTAAAGGCCCCATCTTATCTGATTCTACAGTGTCTGGCACCTAGTAGATAACTAAAAGCAAATAACAGTAACTAACACTCTTGAAAACAATTAGGCTCTGTGCTAATTGCTTGCTTTAGAATATTTAATTTTAGCACTTCTTCTCAAAGGAGATTATTACCATTATCATCCCCATTTTATGATGAGAAAACTAAGGCTCACGAAGATTAAATAAGTTATTCAAGGTTACACATCTAGGAAGAAGCCAAGTCCTACCAAAACATATCCTTCCTTCCCCTCCCAAAAGGTCCCCCGTCTTCCTGCTTTTTATGCCTTTAACTTAGTTGTTTTTTTTTTTTTTTTTTTTTGAGACAGAGCTTTGCACAGCCGCCGAGGCTGGAGTGCAGTAGCGCGATCTTGGCTCGCTGCAACCATCATCTCCTGGGTTCAAATGATTCTCCCGTCTCAGTCTCCCGAGTAGCTGGGATTACAGGCACCCACCATCATGCCCAGCTAATATTTTGTATTTTAGTAGAGACGGGGTTTCACCATGCTAGCCAGGCTGGTTTTGAACTCTTGACCTCAGGTGATCCGCCCGCCTCGGCCTCCCAAAGTGC